CCTCCGCCATCCCTGAAGGCCAGTTCATTGACTGCAAGAAGAGCGCAGAGAAGTTGCTGGGATCACTGGACATAGACCACACCCAGTACCGGTTCGGTCAGACCAAAGTCTTCTTTAAAGCCGGTCTGCTGGGGACACTGGAGGAGATGCGTGATGAGCAACTCTCTCGAATCATCACCAGGATTCAGGCTAATGCCCGGGCAATCCTTATGAGGGCAGAGTTCGCTAAGCTGGTGGAACGCAGAGACGCCCTGATGGTCATCCAGTGGAACCTTCGCTCTTTTCTGGGAGTAAAAAACTGGCCCTGGATGAAGCTCTTCTTCAAGATCAAACCACTGCTGAAGAGTGCCGAGTCTGAGAAGGAGATGGCCAACATGAAGGATGAGTTCAACAAGCTGAAAGATGCTCTGGAGAAATCAGAAGCACGACGGAAGGATCTAGAGGAGAAAATAGTGGCTCTTCTCCAAGAGAAGAATGATCTGACTCTGCATATTCAGTCTGAACAGGACACACTGACGGATGCTGAAGAACGCTGTGAACAGCTTATAAAGAGCAAGATTCAACTGGAGGCCAAGCTGAAAGAGACGACCGAGAGACTGGAGGATGAAGAGGAGCTGAACGCAGATCTCACAGCTAAGAAACGGAAGCTTGAAGACGAATGCTCCGAGTTGAAGAAAGATATAGACGATCTGGAGCTGACTTTGGCCAAGGTCGAGAAAGAGAAACACGCCACGGAGAATAAGGTGAAAAACCTGACCGAAGAGATGGCTTCCCAGGACGAAAACATCATGAAGCTCACCAAGGAGAAGAAGGCACTACAGGAGGCCCACCAGCAGACACTGGATGACCTTCAGAGTGAAGAAGACAAAGCCAATAGCTTAACCAAAGCCAAAGTTAAGTTGGAGCAACAAGTGGACGATCTGGAGGGCTCGTTGGAGCAGGAGAAGAAACTCAGGATGGACCTCGAGCGCTCAAAGAGGAAGTTCGAAGGAGACCTGAAACTGACTCAGGAGAGTTTGATGGACATAGAAAATGATAAGCAGCAGCTGGAGGAGAAACTGAAAAAAAAAGATTTTGAGATTGTCCAAATAACTTCAAGACTGGAAGACGAGCAGGTTGCTTCCATTCAGCTCCAGAAGAAGCTGAAAGAAAACCAGGCGAGGATCGAGGAGCTGGAAGAGGAGCTGGATGCTGAGCGTGCAGCCCGGGCCAAAGTCGAAAAGCAGCGCTGCGATCTTTCCCGCGAGCTAGAGGACATCAGCGAGCGCCTGGAGGAGGCCGGCGGAGCAACATCAGCGCAGGTGGAGATGAACAAAAAGAGAGACGCTGAATTCCAGAAGCTGCGTAGGGAGCTGGAGGAATCTACGCTCCAACACGAGGCCACCGCCGCCTCCCTGAGGAAGAAACACGCCGACAGCGTCGCCGAACTGGGCGAACAGATTGACAACCTGCAGCGGGTGAAGCAGAAGCTGGAGAAGGAAAAGAGCGAGCTGAAGCTGGAGCTGGACGACTTGTCTTCTAACATGGAGAGTGTGGTGAAGGCCAAGTCAAATATTGAGAAGATGTGCCGCACGATGGAAGACAACATGAGCGAGTACAAGAGCAAATATGAGGAAACCCAGCGCTCCGTCAACGACCTGACTACCCAGAGGGCCAAGCTGCTCACGGAGAACGGAGAGTTTGGACGTCAGCTGGAGGAGAAGGAGTGTCTGATTTCACAGCTGACCAGAGGGAAGAACTCGTACAACCAGCAGGTAGAAGATCTCCGCAGACAGCTGGAAGAAGAAGTCAAGGCCAAGAACGCCCTCGCCCATACGGTCCAGTCGGCTCGCCACGACTGCGATCTGCTCCGAGAGCAGTTTGAAGAGGAGCAGGAAGCCAAGGCCGAGCTGCAGAGAGCTCTGTCCAAATCCAACACCGAGGTCTCGGCATGGAGGACCAAATATGAAACCGACGGAATCCAGCGAACAGAAGAACTGGAGGAAGCAAAGAAGAAGCTGGTTCAAAGACTGCAGGAGGCCGAGGAGGCCACCGAGGCCACGAATGCAAAGTGTTCGTCCCTTGAGAAGACCAAGCACCGCCTCCTAAATGAAATTGAAGACCTGATGCTGGACCTCGAGAAGTCCAATGCCGCGTCTGCAGTCCTAGACAAAAAGCAGAGGGCCTTTGACAAAGTCATGGCGGAGTGGAAGCAGAAGTTTGAGGAGTCGCAGTGTGAGCTGGAGGCCTCTCAGAAGGAAGCTCGGTCTCTGAGCACTGAACTCTTCAAACTGAGGAACGCCTATGAGGAGTCTCTGGATCAACTCGAGACATTGAAGAGAGAGAACAAGAACCTCCAAGAGGAGATTTCTGACCTCACCGACCAGCTCGGGGAGGGCGGCAGGAGTGCTCACGAACTGGAGAAGATCCGGAAGCAGCTGGAGCAGGAAAAGGCAGAGCTCCAGTCAGCGCTTGAGGAGGCAGAAGGTTCTCTGGAGCATGAAGAGAGCAAGATCCTCCGAGCCCAGCTGGAGTTCAACCAAGTGAAGGCCGACGTAGAGCGGAAGCTGGCTGAAAAAGAGGAAGAAATGGAGCAAGCAAAGAGGAACTACCAGCGGACGCTCGAGTCGCTTCAGTCCTCTCTGGAATCTGAAACCAGGAGCCGCAACGAGGCCCTGAGGGTCAAGAAGAAGATGGAGGGCGACCTCAACGAGATGGAGATCCAGTTCAGCCAAGCCAACAGGCAGGCGGCTGACGCCCAAAAACAGCTGAAGTGCCTCCAGGCGTTCCTGAAGGACTCTCAGCTGCAGCTGGACGACGCACAGCACAGCAACGACGACCTGAGGGAGAACATCGCTCTCCTGGAACGCAGGAACAACCTGATCCAGGCCGAGCTGGAGGACTTGAGGGCCGCGCTCGAGCAAACGGAGAGAAGTCGCAAACTGGCTGAACAGGAGCTGACGGACGTGACGGAGCGCATGCAGCTCCTGCACTCCCAGAACACTGGCCTGATTAACCAGAAGAAGAAGCACGAAGCGGACCTCGCGCACCTGCAGAGCGAGGCGGAGGACGCCGTGCAGGAGAACCGCAATGCCGAGGAGAAGGCGAAGAAGGCCATCACGGACGCGGCCATGATGGCCGAGGAGCTGAAGAAGGAGCAGGACACCAGCGCCCATCTGGAGCGCATGAAGAAGAACATGGAGCAGACCATCAAAGACCTGCAGCACCGTCTGGACGAGGCCGAGCAGATCGCCATGAAGGGGGGCAAGAAGCAGCTCCAGAAACTGGAGGCTCGCATCAGAGAGCTGGAGAACGAGCTGGAGGCCGAACAGAGGATGGGAACTGAGTCCGTCAAGGGGGTCCGCAAGTACGAACGCTGCATCAAGGAGCTCACCTACCAGACCGAGGAGGACCGCAAGAACACGGCTCGCCTTCAGGACCTGGTGGACAAGCTGCAGCTGAAGGTCAAATCCTACAAACACGCGGCGGAGGAGGCGGAGGAGGGAGCGAACGCCAACGTGGCCAAACTACGCAAGCTGCAGCACGAGCTGGAGGAGGCCGAGGAGAGGGCCGACATTGCCGAGTCACAGGTGAACAAGCTGAGGGCGAAGACCAGGGACGGGTCCTCCAAGAAGGGTCTGGATGAGTGAGGAGACCCCAGAGAGTCCAGCAGCTACAGGTGTGTGAAGTTCATTAGTAACAACATGAAAAACACAATGCTAAAGGTCTGCTTACTGGCTTGTTATCGATGCAGCTCTGAGTCAATGAGTCTGTTTTGATTGACAGGTGTTCCTGCACCATGTGACCTGCACCCTGGGACCTGCACCATGTGACCTGCACCCTGGGACCTGCACCCTGGGACCTGCACCATGTGACTAATGAGGAACCACACAGGACCTGAAGCCGACAGAAACGGTTGTTTTATCAGCATATATAGTAGAAGTAGTGTTATATTCATTGTTCTTTATTCTTTTGAAGACAACAAGTTTTCAGTTCAAGATTCACTTTCTGATTTTTGTGATTTTACTTTTAGAGACGATTAGTTTTCTTTTTTGATTATTGATGGTGTTTGTTTGCTTGTGAGGTTCAGGGACGTTAAAGAGAAACAGGAAGTCTGAAACAAAACTTTGCATTCTGTAATATTTCAAACTGAATTGTGACGAACATCAAAATGTAATAAAACACGAACATGAAGTCAGTACAAAGTATTGTGTTTTGTTTGTTGATCAAAGTGAACATTTCTTTACAAGATAAAACATGTTTCTGGACCTTCAGATGAACTGGATCAAACTGGTCTGTCCTGGTCTCCTTCTTTGATTGGTTAATTGATTGATTGGTTTTAATGAGGGTTTATCAACAATAAACAAACGTTTTCTATTTTAAATCAGCTGTTAAACAAAAGCTCTCTTCCAGCTCATGTCATTCTGTCCTTTCAAAATAAACTTCCGTCTTCACAGGAAGTGACGTTTGAGTCGAGTCGTAACAGTAAAACGTACGTCTCATCGGAAACAAGTTTTAGGCAACAAAAAACACTGTTATAAAAAACGTGAGAATGTGAGTTATTACATTTATGACATTTAATAGTAAATAGGTGAATATTAAACAATATAATTTAACTTAATGCTGCTCAAAGTAAAACATGTAATAAATCTCACATTACAATAAAATATTTATTTATAAGGAACATTTCTGACAGATGTGACAAACCACTGACAGCTGCTGAAAATTTCAAAATAAAAGCAGTCATTTTAAGTGTAATTAAAATATAAAATAACAAATGATATAAAATAAAATTACATTAAATAACATTAAATAAATAATATAAAATTATATAAAATAAAATAACAGAGTAAAATTACATAAAATAACAATATAAAATAACATAATATAATTAAATATAAAATAACATCAAATAAACACGTTGACGTCACAAACATTCACGTCACGAGAAAAAAATAAAAAACGTTGCTTCAAATTAAATACTAAAGACGAGGCTTTTATTCTGAAGACGTGATCCGGGAGCTTCCGGTCCGTGGTGAACTCGGTGGACTTGACGCAGCTGGTCTATAAACCGCTGGATGAGTCCAGATGAAGATGGACCGGGATTCAGACGTCCTCCAGGATCAGGATCAGTGACCTCCAGACAGTCCTGAACCAGAACCAGAACCATGCGGGACCCGCGGAGCTGGACCCCCGGGAGACCAGAAACCTACACCGGGGACCAGAAGAAGCAGCTGGACCGGAAGTGGGTCCGACTGGCCACCGTGCTGGTCTACGTCCTGTCCGTCTCGCTGGCTGCGGGTCTCCTGGCGGTCTACTACGACGTCATCTGGAGACCCACATCTGGACCGGGACGGACCGGGACCGGAAGCTCTGTGAACATTAACATGTGTTCCGGTAATAACTTTATTAACGGTCCCGGTACCGGACCAGAGGAACCCTCTCCCGTGGACCACCCCACCGGACCCTCCCCGCTCCGGACCACCGCCGAACCCCCAGCTGTGACCGCGGAGGACCCGTCCAACCTGGCGACACACCGGCCCGCGGACCTGGACGGGTCCGGCCTAGACGATCTCAGGGGATACTGGTGACCCTTTCAAAATAAAATGTGACTTTATGTAACCTGTGGATTTAACATAGTTATGGGCGTTTATTGTTTATTGTACGACCAAGACCAGGTCTAGTGTCAGACCAGGACCTAAACTAGTCTTAGGCCAGGACCTGAATTAGTCTCAGACTAGGACTAGGACCAAGTCTAGTGTCAGACCAGGATTCTCCCTAAATGAATGTTGTCTGTATGTAAATGTTAAAGGTTGAAGCCCTTTAGTAAACCTCTTACTGTAAAATGTAACTTTCATACAGAAGAAGTAAATAAAACTGATACAGTCCAGAACCGTGTGAGTCTTCTCTGCACTTTAGAAGGACTAAGGTCCCTGAAGGACCCTGAAGGTCTGACGTGATGTGATGAAGAGTTAGTGCCGTGTGGAGTTCAGGGACCGTCTGTAAATCTCACCACAGGAAGGAAGAGACTCTGAACTATGATCCTGTTTACTTTAAACCTGATGACTGTTTCCCTGAATCCTCTCACTTTAAAACAATGACGTCATAAACCGGATGTTTCAAAATAAATATTTTGTACTTAAAGTGACGACGAACTGCAAACAGACTTTATAATGTGTTAGCATGTGTTAGACATGCTAACACATTATATCACATGCTAACCCATGCTAACCCCTTCTACCGCATGCTAACACATGCTAACACATGCTTATAATTTATGCTCAACATTACAAAACAAATATTTTGTACTGAAAGTGACGACGAACTAAAAACAGACTGACTATTTTATTGCTGAGAGAGTCAAACGAACAACTCAGAGACTACTTTATAGACCACATTCTGAGGGTATCAGCAGTAGATCTGGATCTGGGTTCAGGACTCCTACATGGGGAAGACCAGGAAGCCGCTGAAGGTGCTGAGCTTCGTCTGGTCGAAGATGCTCTGCATGTTCCAGAGGGTGACGGAGAGCCGGTCCTCGGCATCCAGGACCAGGGCCATGCCGTTGGAGGCGCTGCCGTGGACCCCCCTGGTGTCAAAGATGGCAAACATGTTGGACCCGTTCTTCAGCAGTGCCGCGTTCAGGGACCCAGAGTTTCCAACGCAGCCGGTGAACCGGATGTAGTAGAGTCCCTTGACGGGGGCAGTGAAGACACCTGGGGGGACAAAGACCCGGCGTCAGGACTCTGACGTTAAAATGTGCAACAGCTGAGTCCTACCAGGTGAGGTCCTACCAGATGAGTCCTACCAGGTGAGGTCCTACCAGGTGAGTCCTACCAGGTGAGGTCCTACCAGGTGAGGTCCTACCAGGTGAGTTCTACCTGGTGAGTCCTACCTGTTTCAGGGTCGTAGGCGTTGCCAATGTTCGTCGTCACTGTCTTGAACAGCAGAGTGGTGTCGCTGTCAAACGGGCCCTGATGGGTCCACAGCTCAGTGTTGACGAGGGACGCCGAGAACGCCACCTGAGATTTAGCTGCAGGGACACGGACAGATTTCTATCAAACACAGGGACCTGGAGCCATGCTAACGTATGCTAACACAGCTAACTATGCTAACACATGCTAACCCCTTCTAACACATGCTAACACATTGTAACACATGCTAAACTCTGCTATCTATGCTAACCCCTTATAACACATGCTAACCCATGCTAACAGCCTCCACTAGCTAAAGGTTTGTCCCTCCATCATCTCAGACCAGGTGCCTCGATGAGCGTCATCGCAGGTTAATGCCTTATTTCCAGCAATCGAGTGATCTGATTGGTCCTGATGCCGGTTTGAAGGGCCGGTGTGACTTACTGACATCTAGTGGCGAGTCTGCAGATTACAACCAACTCCCTCTAGGACCGAGTTAATGAGAGCGGTCAAGTTTAAAACCCACGACGTCGTCCTCCTCGCTCCTCGAGACCCTCCATACCACAATAACCCTCCATCAGGTTTCACTCACCTCTCTCTTCTTCACGCTCTCTCTCCAGTTTGTCCACTCTGGCAATCAGCTGCTGGACCAGGACTCTCACGTCTTCTTCTTCTGGGCCTTTCTCAGGGTTCTGAACGAAGCCCAGGTTCTGAGCCCCGACCACAGCAGAGACCACCACCACCAAGACCAGGACCCGGCTGGACACCATGTCGACTGTTGTTCTGAAAGCTCTGGACCAAGGACACAAAGTTTAACTTAAACGAGACTTTAACCTGAACAAACAATCAGATGATGATTAACCAGAGAGACTTTAGTCTGACTGTCAGTGTCCTCTGTAGACCTGATCCACCAGAGACTTTAGTCTGACTGTCAGTGTCCTCTGTAGACCTGATCCACCAGAGACTTTAGTCTGACTGTCAACGTCCTCTGTAGACCTGATCCACCAGAGACTTTAGTCTGACTGTCAACGTCCTCTGTAGACCTGATCCATCAGAGAGACTTTAGTCTGACTGTCAGGGTCCTCTGTAGACCTGATCCACTAGAGAGACTTTAGTCTGACCGTCAGTGTCCTCTGAAGACTTGATCCACCAGAGACTTTAGTCTGACCGTCAGGGTCCTCTGTAGACCTGATCCACCAGAGAGACTTTAGTCTGACTGTCAACATCCTCTGAAGACCTGATCCACCAGAGAGACTTTAGTCTGACTGTCAGTGTCCTCTGAAGACCTGATCAACCAGAGAGACTTTAGTCTGACTGTCAGTGTCCTCTGAAGACCTGATCCACCAGAGAAATTTAAATCTATTTAATCTCTTCATCCCACTCTGCTTTATTGAGTTCTATTTTTAACGCACAGAGCTTCAGAGACAGAAGAACTAAACCTGTGGAGATTAAAAACCTTCATAAAGCTTTTAGACCAACGTCAGCTGCTAGAACTAGAACCTTTAAATAAAAACATCTGGTTCAGTTTCTGATCAGAGAAACGGGTTACGGAGGTTCCTTCTTCTTATATCTGATGTTATTCAGTCTCTGCCTAACCTAACCAAACCTAAACTAAACCTAACCTAAACTTAAACGAAACTAAACCTAACCGAAACTAACCTAAACTTAACCGAAACTAAAGTAAATTGAACCTAACCGAACCTAAACCTAACCGAAACTAAACTAACCTAAACCTAACCGAAACTAAACTAACCTAAACGTAACCGAAACTAACCTAAACTTAACCGAAACTAAACTGAAACTAAATTACCTAAAGCTAACATACTAAACCTGACCTATCCTAATATGACCTAAACCTGAACTAAACCTAAACTAACCTAAACCTTCCCTTAAACCAAGTCGTCAGCCAAAAATCTACTGATTTACGTTGTCTGGATGTTTTTCCCCATAAGGAGGGTGAGTCCCCACAAAGTGACTGTGATAAAACACACACACAACCTTGTACTTCTATCTTTGTGAGGACCCTGGTTGACCTTTAACCCTTTAAACTGAGTTGAACCACTAAGATCTGGAACGAAGGACGGAAACAAAAACGGGTTGCAACCAGAACCAGGTGGACCCAGCGAGCACTGGTGGTTAGAACGCCTTGACATTACGCTCATCTCACCTGAGGTGACAGGAGAGACAGATGAGACAGGTGAGAGGAGAGACAGGTGAGACAGGTGAGGCAGGTGAGACAGGTGAGGCAGGTGAGACAGGTGAGACAGGTGAGGCAGGTGACAGGAGAGGCAGGTGACAGGAGAGACAGGTGAGGCAGGTAACAGGTGAGACAGGTGAGGCAGGTGACAGGTGAGACAGGTGAGGCAGGTAACAGGTGAGACAGGTGAGGCAGGTGAGACAGGTGACAGGAGAGACAGCTGAGGCAGGTGACAGGTGAGACAGGTGACAGAAGAGACAGGCGAGACCGGTGACAAGAGAGACAGGTGAGGCAGGTGACAGGAGAGACAGGTGATGCAGGTGAGAGGAGAGACAGATGAGACAGGTGGGCACCAGGTGGACCGTCATTGGTCAGTTTGTTACAGG